ACTCCTAGTTCTCCTCCCCTCCTTATCGTACTCCTCCCCCTACCCATGCCCTTCCTCCACCACCATGACCCCTCTTCCCCCCTCCTTATGATTAAAAGAACCACTACAGAACCCCCTGGACTCCCTAACATTTTCCCGAGCCCGTCCTCCTCCTCCTCCTCCTCCTCCTCCTCCTCCTCCTCCTCCTCCCCCCCTCCCCTCCCCTCCTCCCCTCCCCTCTCCCCTTCTCCTCCTCTCCCTCCTCCTCCTCCTTCTCCTCCTCTTCCTCCTCCTCCTCCTCCTCTTCCTCCTCCTCCTCCTCCTCCTCCTCCTCCTCCTCCTCTTCCTCCGCCTCCTCCTCCTCCTTGGTCCTTGATCCTTCATGGAGGTGCTGTCGAGATCGGCCGCACCCCTCCGATGTCCGTCCGCCATACCGCCCCTCGACGGTACGATGCGCCAAATGCGCACCGACAGCGTGCGCGGCTAGCCGAGCACAGAACCGAACGAACTCTGAACACGACGAAGTCACATCCGATGCCCAGCCAACCACAATGCAGGATGAGGCACCCACTTCACCAAAGCAAGGGCCAACTGCACTGCCCGAGCAAAAAGAGCATGCCGAGACATCCCACTGCCGAACATAGAGCTGACGACCCCCAGAAGATAGGATACGCCAGCAGTGCAATTACGCTACCGAAGAACCCCACATACTGATTTTATGTCTTGTGTGAACCGCGCTACCACCACCACCGCCGTCATGCTCTCAGGTGCCCCCTGTGGTCGTTGAAAGGAGGGGGAGGACGTGTGGGGGGAGAGGAGGGGTTGAGGAGTCATCTGTGACGGTCATATCCGGCGTCGCCTGGCACTTGGATACGAGAGGTAAAACGCAACCCCGCACTAGAGGCTATGCCTGGACGACCCTGGCACGCATAGAGAGACCACCCCCTGCGCACCCCCTCTGGTGTTGAGAACATGCCACGCCTGCAATGCCTGGACGACCCTGGCACGCATAGGGAGACCACCCCCTGCGCACCCCCTCTGGTGTCGAGAAAATGCCACGTCTGCAATGCCTGGACGACCCTGGCACGCATAGGGAGACCACCCCCTGCGCACCCCCTCTGGTGTCGAGAAAATGCCACGCCTGCTATGCCTGGACGACCCTGGCACTCATAGGGAGACCACGCCCTGCGCACCCCCTCTGGTGTCGAGAAAATGCCACGCCTGCAATGCCTGGACGACCCTGGCACGCATAGGGAGACCACCCCCTGCGCACCCCCTCTGGTGTCGAGAAAATGCCACGCCTGCAATGCCTGGACGACCCTGGCACGCATAGGGAGACCACCCCCTGCGCACCCCCTCTGGTGTCGAGAAAATGCCACGCCTGCAATGCCTGGACGACCCTGGCACGCATAGGGAGACCACCCCCTGCGCACCCCCTCTGGTGTCGAGAAAATGCCACGCCTGCTATGCCTGGACGACCCTGGCATAGGGAGACCACCCCCTGCGCACCCCCTCTGGTGTCGAGAAAATGCCTGCTATGCCTGGACGACCCTGGCACGCATAGGGAGACCACCCCCTGCGCACCCCCTCTGGTGTCGAGAAAATGCCACGCCTGCTATGCCTGGACGACCCTGGCACGCATAGGGAGACCACCCCCTGCGCACCCCCTCTGTGTCGAGAAAATGCCACGCCTGCTATGCCTGGACGACCCTGGCACGCATAGGGAGACCACCCCCTGCGCACCCCCTCTGGTGTCGAGAAACTGCCACGCCTGCCCTGGACGACGCATAGGGAGACACCCCCTGCGCACCCCCTCTGGTGTCGAGAAAATGCCACGCCTGCTATGCCTGGACGACCCTGGCACGCATAGGGAGACCACCCCCTGCGCACCCCCTCTGGTGTCGCATAGGGAGACCACCCCCTGCGCACCCCCTCTGGTGTCGAGAAAATGCCACGCCTGCTATGCCTGGACGACCCTGGCACGCATAGGGAGACCACCCCCTGCGCACCCCCTCTGGTGTCGAGAAAATGCCACGCCTGCATGCCTGGACGACCCTGGCACGCATAGGGAGACCACCCCCTGCGCACCCCCCTGGTGTCGAGAAAAGCCAACCCTGGCACGCATAGGGAGACCACCCCCTGCGCACCCCCTCTGGTGTCGAGAAAATGCCACGCCTGCTATGCCTGGACGACCCTGGCACGCATAGGGAGACCACCCCCTGCGCACCCCCTCTGGTGTCGAGAAAATGCCACGCCTGCTATGCCTGGACGACCCTGGCACGCATAGGGAGACCACCCCCTGCGCACCCCCTCTGGTGTCGAGAAAATGCCACGCCTGCTATGCCTGGACGACCCTGGCACGCATAGGGAGACCACCCCCTGCGCACCCCCTCTGGTGTCGAGAAAATGCAACGCCTGCTATGCCTGGACGACCCTGGCACGCATAGGGAGACCACCCCCTGCGCACCCCCTCTGGTGTCGAGAAAATGCCACGCCTGCTATGCCTGTCGAGAAAATGCGCACGCCACGCCTGCTATGCCTGGACGACCCTGGCACGCATAGGGAGACCACCCCCTGCGCACCCCCTCTGGTGTCGAGAAAATGCCACGCCTGCTATGCCTGGACGACCCTGGCACGCATAGGGGGGCCCCCTCCTGCGCACCCCCTCTGGTGTCGAGAAAATGCCACGCCTGCAATGCCTGGACGACCCTGGCACGCATAGGGAGACCACCCCCTGCGCACCCCCTCTGGTGCGGCGCGGCAGGGAAGAAAACCATAACCCCACGAAGTGAGGTGAGTGTCGCGGGCGCGGCGCGGCAGGGAAGAAAATCAGAACCCCACGAAGCATGTGGGGAATGAAGAAAACCAGAACCCCACGAAGCTGGAAATAAAGCGTAGTGTTTAAATTAAGTATGTGGGGTGCTGCGCTGTGCTGTGCTGTGCTGAGCTGAACTGAGCTGAGCTGTGGTAAGCTGTGCCGTGCTGAGCTGAGCTGAGCTGAGCTGTGCTGAGCAGTGCTGTGAGGAGGAGGGGAGGTGTGAGGTGAGACGCGGGTGCGACGCGGCAGGGAAGAAAACCAGAACCCCACGAAGCATGTGGGGAAAAAAGGGGAGTCCCGCGCCACGCGTATGGGAAAACCGACGGATGCCTTTGATCTGCGCCTTCTGGCCTCCCTTCGACGGGGTAACCCCGCCACGCTTTCTCTTAAGGTTGAGCCACTTGCCATCGATCTTTGCCGAGTAGCCAACACATATAGCACGATGCACCGCGTTGGCCGGCCACGCCATCTCGTGCCCGAGCATTCGGAACGACTTGTCCACCGCCTTCCGATGGTCAGCCTCGCTGTCGTCCTGACCCGCCAGCTCCACCGCCGCGCAAGCACCCCGAGCAATGTCTGCTGCTTCCAGCGCAGCCTGCACAACAACAGGTCTATAACACTGAATCTGCCTGCCCTCGACGGCGTTGAAATGCACGTTCATGCGACCGCGTTGCACGAGACGACTGACCGCAATGACTGCTAGCGCCCCAAGTAAGGTAAACCCAGTGCGTCTAAATATTGGCCATGACGCCGCAGTTGCGGCCTCTCGAGACCTGCTGGCCCTCGAGATTGAAGAACCAGAACTCCAATATCGCAAGATGCTGGTACTTCTCTTCCCCGCCGTCGGCCGCTCGCTTTTCCATAGCCGTCGCTGAAAAGGCAGAGCCAGACCCCGGCAAAGATACCTGGCCAACATGCGCCCCTCGCAAAGCACAAAGCAGGACCTGCCCCACGCAACTCTTTGCGACGGTGACCCCCTCCGCGCCTGACTTAACGACGTAGTCCGCCCATCCGATGCCAAGAGACCGCGTGAGGTATAAACCTGGAGGAGCCCGCCCTTCAACCGCTGCCCTATAATCCAGATGAGATGGGCACCGCTTGAACGGCAGAAAGAACACGTCGCGCTTGCTGACTTGGCTGTGGATCTTGCACGATGCCCAAGCCCGCCTGGCTTCTGCTGCTGCGTCGGCGTCGCCCCAGCAGCTGCCTACCTTGACTGGCAATGACAAATCAAAGATAACTATAACCATGCCACCCCCCTTGCTGTAGCAGGATGCCGCTTGCAGCCCCGCGCGTCGCCCAGCCAGCCCAATAGTTTGCCGGCGCCCGGGCCGCCCACCATAGGTAGCGCAACCGATGCAACATTCAAGTGACCCATGAGAGGGGATGACACGACCTGACCACGCCTCATACACGCGCGCGCCCCTCTGCCTCATGAAACTACGGCTCCATCCAGACAAATCGAGCTGGAATATTCATCACCACTGATTGATGCAACAAAACCTGCGGCACCGCGCTCTCGCGAGCCTCCCGCGCAACCGCCGCGGCCGCAATCGAGTGCAGACCGGGAAGCTCCGCCACCCTCGCTGTAAGATTGCGTTGAAACGCAGGGCCCCTCGACGATGGACCGGCACCTTCCCCCCCCGCGTGGAAGGGCCATGTGCTCGGGCCACTGCCGCGTCGCCACGCTGCGAGCCCCCGACCAACATCTAACAACTGACTGAAACAAACCCGTAACACTGCTTCCACCGACTGGCATGGGCAAACGTGCCAAGATGTCAAAACCCCCAAAGTTGGGCCAGGCACTGAGACGCGCACAATTGGAATCCAGCACGCCGCGCAACCCCAAACCAACAACCCACGCCTGCCAGAACCCCTTGGGCGCGACCCAAGTCTGCCCCTTTTCCTTGCGCGACGGAACTTCGAGCGCAACCTGCCTCGAGAACACGACGGACCTGTTTGGCACCCGACCTCCTTCAAGAAAAACATCTGGCATCTTGAGCTTCCAGTAGCCGCAATTTTCGCCCGCGCCCTTCCACTTCGCGGGCTCGCGCCCCACCAACTTGCGCGGCTTTGCTGGGAACCTGGTCTTAACGACCCCCCCCTCGGCAATTAGTTTCGCGCACTTATGGGCAGCGCCAGCTCCGCGAGGCCAACTCATGACTGCCCACCTTCTCCAACCTTTCATCCTGCCGCGCATGGCCTGATCCCCCCATTCTTGCCGAGCCTGACAATTCCGCCAGTGGCCCTACGCGCATCGGCCCGCGAGAAATGCCGCGGCCCATCCTGGAAGGAGCGCGCCGCGCCCTGACCAGATTGCTTCATGAGCTCCTTGAAGTGCGCGACCTTTTGCTGACGTAGCGTCGCCATCTTCTTCGGCCCAATAAGACGCCCATCTAGTGCAAGCGAAGTCCCATCAAACTGCGCCACCGAGCTGCGAAACCCGCAATAGTTCCCGAGACGCAGCGGCCCCACCCGCGCCTGCAAGTGCTCGCGCTAGCAACCGACCGCCTTCCATGCGTGAGCCGTCTCGATAACGCGCGCCCTCCTGCGCAATGGTTTCCCGTCCAATTACCCCCGCTGGAAACGCCCAGGCCCCGCCCGTGCAATCTGCCCCTGTCGAACCTTGCCCCTGATGTCCCAACAATCTGCCAACCCAATGCGTCGCGTCTTGCCACCAACCGCGACCTGCCCTGCCCCGTGCCTCTGCCGCCGCGAAACCGACCTCCCGGCGCAGGCAACAACTCAGGAAACGTCCTCGCCCCTGCCTGCGACCCCGTCGGGTTCGGATCGCATCGGCCATGCCGCGATCGCCGCCGACGGCGAGCCTCAGGTTCACGGTCGCGAAGCGCGCCTGCCATCATATCCAATGCTGCCCAGATAACGCCAACGCTGGGCTGCCGCAGCCCCCCGTCCATCTTCGTCGCAGCGCCGCAGAATAATTGCAGCGCTCCGCCGACGCCCGCGAGCCTCGCGCCAAGCAGAAACATGAGTCGACGCAGCCAGCTCGGATCCGACAACCAAGGTGCATATAGCCCCCCACCTCCTGATAAGCGATTCGCGCCCAGGGCGCGCTGGGTCGACGCGCAGATAAGCCTCGCACCATGCGCGCCATACTTCGGGACCTTGAAACTGCTCGCCTCGAAGGTCCCGGATCCAATGCTCAGCATAACCCTTGATATCGCCTCCGGGCTGCACTTCAACAGGTAACTTAGCTGGTAAATCGCACATTGCCCCCGTGGCCTGTTCAGTCTGAACCCTCGAGCATTCTGGGCCCCAGTCTGGCGAGCTCCAGGGTTCCTCCGCAGACCTATCCCTGGCAGGCCCCAAAGAGACGCGCGAGGTCGACCCCCCCGTTGCCCGCGGGCTGCGTTGGAGGCCCCGACCCCGGGCCAGGCGTCTAGCCAACGAAACGCCCCTGCCAGCCGATTCTCGGGGCGGGCCCCAGGGCGCGGCGACGAGCGCGTTCGGCGAAGCCTTCTTCGATGCGAGATTCCGCCGGGGCGCGCCCCCAGCGGACGCAGCAGGATCTCCCGGGAAGGAAGGGTTCTCAGCCTACCCCTGCCCATTACGTAGTAAGTTCCAACCGCGTTCGAGTGATGCCTGCTTCGTCGCCATTGCCCTCAAAGAAGGAAATAGCGCGCCCAGCCAGCCCTTGAACATCCGCAAGCCCAAATATCTAGAACGGCCTGAACGCCTCCTCAGGTTGCTCTTGCCTCCACGCGGGAAGCTTATGTGCCATGTTGCGTTATCTATTCTTCGCCTGCGTGCATATTCAAGTGATTCCCTTGCCCCGAGCCTGCCGCGACCGCCGCTGGAACCAGGATTTTGGCACGCTGCTCGCCCTGCTTGATCTCGCCCACCATGACCTCGTCAACCCCGTGGCTTTCGAGGAGTGGTTCAGTCGCGTCGACTGTGAGCCCAGGTCCCAACGTTGCTGACTGAGCAAACCCTGATTCATCGGGCGGCGCCACACTTGCAATTGAAAGCAACGCCAGCTCCTTGCGCTACTGTTTCAAGACCAACAGCAGAATCATAATCAGAATCAGAAGGCGGGGTGTCACCGCAGACAGCATGCACAGAACGCACACTACGCTAAGATAAACCAACGCAGACAAACTCAAAACTGGCGCGGACCACGTCCGGCTGACGGGGAAGGGAGGACGGAGATGGGGTAGAGAATGGCGTGCGAGCCAGGCGGCATGTGCTCCAACGCATATCGAGCGCCATCGTGCCACCTCTGTCGTGGGCGACGGGCTGCCAACCTCGTGTCTGTACGTCCAGCATGCAAGCTGTAACTGTGGCGTTGCGCCCTCCGGCCTTGGAGCCACCGCTCACCTTGCCAATGCAATAGCTGCGCCGCCCATGAACGACTGTTCCGGGGTCGCTCAAGGTGCGCGCGCCAATCCAAGACACGGAAGCAATGACGATGGCTCAACCAACGTCTCTGGCGACACAAGTCCTTGGCCTCGCTAGCCCTACGGCGGAAGTAATCCGGCGCCGGCGCGCCGCGGCACTCGCATGAGTAAGCCGACCATGCGGCGCTGACAAGTGTCAATGCGCCCTTCCAGGGTGGCGGCCGGAGACCATCGGCTGCATCGATAACCAAACACGGGAAGTACGGCCCGATCCAGCAGCTTCAGACGCTGTTGCAAAGGGACCTCCCGCAACCGATGCATTGAGCAATTTGCCCAAAATGCTCGCCACATGGCGGCCAGGGTCCTGTCGACACGCATCGTGCGCGCTCCGGTATTCTCAAGGATGTGGCCCAAAGCTTCAAACGAGTTGGCTGGTGCCCAAACGGACGTGTCCGAGACGGAAGGGTCGCCTCCTGCAGCCACCATGCAAGCTTTACTAGAATGCTTGATCTTGAGCCCCCAATCGGCGAGAATGTGGGCCTCAAACTCGTCCAGCATGCACGTTGTATTATACAAAGTATGGCTTGCAGAGTAGACATTGTCGACGTATGTAGCGATGGCAAGATGCACAGACTGGTCTAATTGAAAACCACGGCGCCGGCAGACCTCGGACATCTTGCCGAGCGCGGCTTCCACCGGGATGCGGCCCAGGGCGCCAGCTACCCGGCTCCCAGTGAGACTTCCACGAGATCGTTTGCCCAGGTCGGCATCTATGTCACCGACGCGCAAGCTCACTTTCGGGAGCAACTGATGACGAGCCGCTGCTGCCGCAAGCTCCTGGGGCATGCCTCTGGAGACGCACCACTGCAAGATACTCACTACGGGGAGAGAGTCGTAGAAGGTTTCAATATTACTTTGGGCGACCGCGGACTGGCTATGGTCGTCCAGGCCTCTTTCGATTATGAGGTGCAGGGCGTGCGTAATGTCCAATGCTTGCGTGAACGGCCGGGCTCCAACCCAGCAGCACTGTGGCACAGCAGTGTTCTCGTCGATCCATGTGTTGAGACGCTGCGCAACCAAACAGTCTAACACCTGGAGGTCAGCCGGGAGGGGCATAATGGCACGCAGCTGCGCGGGCTTCGGGGTGGCGGTGCCTTTCCCCCGCACGTGCCCCAAGACTGCCAGAGCAGACATGGCAGCGCTGGAGGCCGCTAATTCATTAAAGTATCGAGCACAGAGGTCTGAGTCACATTTAAAAATCATGTGGTGCATACGCACGCACCGCCCGACATTGTCAAGTTTGCCGATATTTTTAGGGCGGGTGAGCGCCACCGCAACTTCTGCGCGAGTGAAGCCGGGTTCAAGCCCCTCCGCACCGCAGACAAATTCCACGAGAGGCAGGATCGACTCGGGCTCATCTGACCCCCATTTGGCATCGAAGCAAGATTTGACTGCTCTAGCCCATTCAGCCGGAGACTGCGACAGAGAGAACTGAGCTTCGTCCTCAGGAGCGCTGGGAGACGACGGCAAGTGCATCCCCGTCACTGGCCGCAGCTTTGAGCTTTTCTTGAAAACTCTGCCCTGCCGAATGGTGGAAGCTATCCTGTGAGCCCTTTCCTGGCGGACGTGCAGTTGCAGAAACTGCCATGCCTGGCTGCGAAGCCGGGTGCGTTCGCTCTCCGACGCGGCGTTGGCGGCTCTGCGGTACAAATCTCGGCACTGCAATGGCACGCGGGCAGCGGACCGTGCCGCGTACGCACTGCTATCGGACCAGCTGTCGCGGAGCGCTGCGAAAGCTGCAGCGCAGACCGCATCAGCAGGGCCGCCTGGACAAGGAGGAAAAGGAGGGAGGCAAGCGAGAGGAGGACGAGGGGGAGGGCGAAGAAGAGGAGGAAAGGGCAACGCGCAGCCACTCCAGGCAGGCAGCGCCGTCCTTACAGATCCCATGTGTCTTGCCACGACGTCGCGCCGTATTCTTGCACTTGAAGATGTGCTGGAGCATGGCATGGTCCCCATGCGACGCCCAATGAATCGTCGACTGTGAGACGACGGACGGCGACGCCAAAGCATAGTCCAACATGCTGGGCCTCACGTCTTCCGCCATGTCTCCCCCTGGCACCCTGGTGATGGGGGCAATCAGGCAGGCGGCATTGTGAGGTCCACCTGGGCCAGCGAGGGGAAGGGAAGGGAGGACGAGGTCAATATTAAAACCGCTGCTTAAATTGGCGAGCGACTCTCGGGCTAAATAATGACGAATTCTCCGACCGAGCTGGGAGGCCCAAGGGTCAGATGGATGCAGCGGCAGCTGGTCAACGTTAAAGTCCCCCACGACCACGACATGACTGCCAAACGGTCGGGCCCGGAGAACAGGCCCCAAATCATGCAGGCTGTCATCGAGAGCCTCCCCATGAACCCCCGTGAAAGCCCACCGCAAAGAGATTCAAGTCTAGAGGTGAAACAACAGAGGCGGACCGAAGATGAATGGCCCCACATCGACCCCTCCAAATGACTGACTGTATTAAGGGCGCGAGGCACCTACGCATGGCCCATGCCATGGCGTAACTACCCTGCCCTGGATAATGCCGGAAGCAGCGATGCGGCCCAAGCCTCGCAGACAGCTGACGCATCTCTGCGATATTGGTCTCGCTCCACTAGCTCCTGCAACTTAGCGACTGCGCCCTTCCGCTGGTCCAGGGCATGTGTAGTTTTAGATATTGTCCCTCCATATGGGCGTATTTGCGGGACAGTCGGGGATCTGACCGCCCAAAGGTTTGTAGGCACGACGCTTGGTGTAGAGTTCGTCTAGCAGCTTGGGCAGCCCTTCCCGAAACGGTGCCAGCTCAGATACTTGCGCAGCACGCGCTTTCGGACACATCTTGAGTTCACCCTCAACATCGTCGACCTGGCGCTGTAGCTCTGACGCTGGCCCCAACGTCCCAGCACCATCGTCGTCCATGGGTTCGGCGTCGGGTCAAACTGACTTCTTTGCAGCGAGCTCACGTTGAAGGCGCTGTAGCTCCTTTTCCATTTCGGCCATCTTTTTGGTCTGGTCCCGTCGCTTTTCCCAAGGTGATCCATCACGTTCAAGTCGGGGTGAGGGCGAAGTAGCTCCACGATTTCTTC